CGATCCTCCGCCTCAGCCTTCCGAGTAGCCGGAATTACAGGCGTGCGCTACCACGCCCGGCTGATTTTTGATTTATTGTAGAGATGAGGTCTTGCTGTCCAGGCGGGTCTCGAACCCGCGGGGCTCAGGCCATCCACTCACCTCAGCCTCCCAAAGGCGTGGGATTACAGGCTGAGCCACCGAGCCCGGCAATATACATTTTATACATGTATATATAAATGAAATATAGGTGTTAACTCATACTGGAATAACAGCCACCCTCAAAACTTCACTTTCTTTTCACTTAAGCACATTACAGAACATATATATGTTTTAACAGCAAAGAGTAAAGATGACACTATCTGTTAATTCAGAAACAGTACAATGAAACAAGCATAAATATTTTTCCAGGTAGGCACCTACTCTGCCTCCGAAAAGAAACCCATTATCCAATAGAACCATCTTAATAGTTTATATTATACGAGTTTCCTGAAAAGGATTTTAGGAGATGGGTTACAATGTTAACAAAATAAAGTATATATATACTTTCCAAGGAAAGTTGTCTTAATGTTTTAGTTTTAATTCTTTTGACACCAAACATTTCTAGGATGAATTAGGTCTGAAAGTTGACATGCTGCAGGACACAAACCATATTTATGTATATCAAACTGACAGCGAAGCTATCAAATGAACACTGCAGCCTCGCCAATAAGACTTGACAGGAGAGTCAAGAAGGCAATATCATCTTGGTTGATCAATATGATATTCTTTTTAAAAAGCTTCTGACTATAGATACCTCTGAGGAAAAACAAAGGCAGGGCAGATTTTTAACTGTACCTGCCTTTCCGGCAGACAAACAAGGGTTTCAGTAAGTTGAATCCGATAGGAGAAAAAAACATGAATTATGTGTCTGAGGAAATAACATTCTCTGAATCTGAAATTATTAAGTATTCAAGGAAATTAGATGGACTCCCTTCTCTATAAAGATCATCCCTAAGTCTGCCTGCTATTAAAGCTTAGTGAATATGTTATAGGTGAAATTAAAGTGTGTTCCCACATCCTACCAGGTAAGGGTAAGATAAGCTATACTTGTGGATATTGTATCCAAGCACATCTAAGAAGGTAACATATTCTGGTAGCTAAGGACAGAAGAAGTTGGATGGCGGAAATGTGTCTGTGTCTCTAACTCAATCTTGGGAGCCTGAATCAACTGGCCTTGATTCTTAAAATAGAATCCTCCCTCAAGTAGTAAGGGTGTGGGGGAGGAATACATATCTTACATGATAGAAATCTTGCTCAAGCACATCTAGGCCCCTTTGGTCTAGGTATGTATTCTTCCAAGAAAACTCTCTTCCAGGAAGAAGTAGTGTGCGCAAATGCTGATTCCATTCCAGTCACCAGGCAGATCTCCCACTGGCCATTTAATAATGAATGGTCCTTGAGCCGGGCATTGTAGCACGCACCTGTAGTTCCGGCTACTTGGAAGGCTGAGGCGGAAGGATCGCCGGAGCCCAGCGGGTCGAGGATGCGGTGGCCAGAAGCATGCCACTGCAGTCCAGTCTGGGTGACGGAGTAAGACTCCAACTCAAAAAAAAAAAAAAGAATGGCCTTTCTCATAAAAAATTGCTCTCTTATGTGTGAACAGTTCTCTTCATAACTAATAATTTGAGTTTTTGAACCAGTTTAGCTAATGATGAGACCTTGGATACATGGTGATCCTACCAAGGTTGAGATGCTCTGCATCTTGATGCACTGGTTTCTTGATGAAATGGTAGGGGGCAGCCTCCAGCCACATCACAAGGTTGTTACAGACAGCCCTTCAGAGACTCTAAATCAAGGCCAAGTACCTTGTATCCCTGGTTGATGCCGTTGATAAACTGCTGAGGTGGAGGGTTCCACAGGAACTGGACAGTTGTGGAGTTCACCGCTTCTGTCTGCACGTTCTGTGGGGGTGCAGTAGGTACTGGTCCAGGGCAGTCATTGAAGACAGCAAAACAAATGGTAGGAGGCACGTCGGGAGGAGAGATGAGAAAGAAACCCTTAGCTGCCACTCACGATTCACAGGCAATTACAGCACCGAGAACAGGGAAGTGTGATGAATGTTTTTGGAAGCTAATAGTGGCACTACAAAGAAAGAGAATTGGGCTATTTCTCATTTTCTGGTGCAGGATTCTTTAAGGCATAGGCAGAAAAGTGGACTAGGCCATCTTCACTTTCCACAGATGAGCCTTTCCCAAGGATCCAAGATGGATAGCAAGCAAAAGCTTTCTCTGATTTATTTTTCAATTACCCAAAATTTGAGATCAAGGCAAAGCTTCATCTAGAAATCTCTCCCGTGTATACTACTACATTTCAAGCTAAATTATTCCTTAAACTGAAAACAAACAAAAGAACTATCACCCCTTCCCATATGCATTGCTGTTTATCCATTTTGAAGCTAAATTTCTCTTTGTCAATAGGAGCGACAATGTGTGGATTTTCCACTGTTCACTTCCTTCTTTTACTGAACAGCAACTGGACCCAGCTATGTGCCTGCCAAATCACTTGCCTTCAAGGAATGCACATTCCAGGGGGGATGCTCATGTTACTATAGAGGAGTAAACACACAGGGTAGGACAACTACCTCTGTCCTGGAAAGGGTAGAATCCCTTCTCTGGACTGTGTCTGGGAGAAAGGGTAGACCTGAGAAGGGGGAAAGCCCTTGGAAAGGACACGCTCAGCTGGGAAAACAGTGGGCAAAGGCACCATGTTATTGAACAAACCTGGAGAGGGGAGCGGACATGGGAAACATAATTAGCCATGGAGTGTAGGGTGAAGAGGGGTGCAGGAGGTGGACAGGTCACTCTGAGATGGCTTAATATGCCCGGAACCATGGTGGGTAATGTATATGATAGGCAATGGGGAGTTGAAAGCTTTCTGGAAAAGGCAGTGGATGGGGCTAGCTCAAGGATGAGAACCCCAGTAGCCTACAAAGAGGGGACTAGGCCACTGGCTGTATCAGCAAACCTTCACAGAATAGAAAGGAAGGTCCTGACTCTTTAGGAGCTTGTTTCAAAGGTGAGACACAAAAGCCCAAAAGATCCTTCGGCTGATGGTAGAGGAACAAAAACAAAGATATCTCGGCACAGAACACATGGGGTCAGACATGGCCTGTTAAAAATCACAACATTTCATGACTCTCTCCCTCAGATCTCATCAGCTAGAGATGAAACAAATTTTAAACCTCATCAACCCCCTCATGTCTGCTCTTCCAAGTCATGCTCTCTTTTCTCATTTGCTGCTGACCATGGCTGTGATGCAAGGAAACTGCCCTACTTCCCCTACAGTACCCTGAAAAGTGTGTGGATTAAACATGGACACAGGAATTGATGTATAGGATGCAGAAAGGTGAAAAGAATATCACATTCACCTAACAACAAGAAAAAGCCGAAAAAATTACAAAATTTTAACTTTTCTTGCGCTCCTAAGAGAGCTGCGTGGTAGCCAAGTGGTCTGAAATACAAGGAAAGTTAGGCCTGTCCAAGAGTTGGAGTATGGATCCAGTTCACCTGTCACAGAGCATGAGGGGAAGAGATGATGGATACCATGCAACTGAGTGAAGAAAATTCAGCTAAAGTTCTCAAAGAATGCCTAAAAGCTGAGTGTGGGCTGCAAGAGAGTATTGGATCTTTGGAAGCTGCAGATATACAAAAAGAATTCATTACCACAGAGGAACAAAGATGAGAATTTCAAGTATTTCACTGGTGAAATCCACCAAGCATTTGAGGAATAAATAAAACCAATTCTAAAGCATTGCCCTGCTACCAAAATCAGGAAAAGATACTAAAAGCAAAAACTACAGACCAATATTCACCATGAACACAAGTTCAAAAAATCCTCAACAAATAAAATTCAACATTATATAAAAAATAATAATCTATCCTGATTGAGATAGGTTTATTTTATAAATGCAAGATTTGAATATCAATCAAGGCAATTCCCCATGTCAATAAAATAAAGAAAAAAAATGATCGTCTTTATACATTTTAAAAAAGCATTTGACAAAATTTAACATCCAAGCATGATTTAGAAACTACAGTAAGCCGGGCTCGGTGACTCAACCTGTAATCCCGCGCTTTGGGAGGCTGAGGTGAATGGATTGCCTGAGCCCGTGGGTTCGAGATCTGCCCAGGCAACTTGGTGAGACCTTATCTCTACAATAAATTAAAAATCAGCCGGGCATGGTAGTGCATGCCTGTAATTCCAGCTACTCGGAAGGCTGAGGCGGAAGGATCGCCGAAGCCCAGCAGGTCGAGGCTGCGGTGGTCGGGAGTGGCCACTGCACTCCAGTCTGGGCAACAGAGTGAGACTCCAACTCAAAAAAAAAAAAAAAAAAGAAACAACAGTAAAAAAAACTCTCTCAGCAAAATAGGAATTTAAAGTAACTGTTCTAATCTCAATAAAGAGTATCTACAAAATATTTGCAACTAACATCTTATTTAAGCAATGAAAGCACAAAAGAGATGTAAACTTAACAAACTATGTGCAAAATCTGTATGCTGAAAGCTACAAGCACTAATGAAAGAAACCAAATACCTAAGTCAATGGGGAGTCATATCACATTAATGGATTGGAAGACAACAGTAAAGAGGTCAATTCTCCCCAAAGTGCTCTATATAGTGAATGCATCCCAACAAAAGTTGCTGGTAGATATTGTTTATAAATTGAAAAAGTGATTTTAAAATTTATATTAAAAATCAAAGTAATTAGAAAAGTAATCAGTAAAGTAGTAAAAGCTAAACAATTTTGAAAAAAAAAACAACTTCACTACATGATTTCAAGACTAACTACAAATCTAAGTAATTAAAACCGGGTGATACTGGAGGAAGGATAGACACATTGATCAATAACACAGAATAAAGAGTCCAGGAGTGACTCACACATATATCATTGGTTTTCAATAAGATACAAAGAAGAGGTAATCTTTTTAACAAATGGTGCTGGAAATATTTGACATTCTTCTTCAAAAAAAGTAAAATAAAGTCTGAATCTATACCTCACACCATATACAAAAAAGTACCTCAAAATGAATCATAGGCTTAAATGTAAACCTATAATTATAATACCTCTAGGAAAAAACGGTTGTGGCATTGAGTTATGCAAAAAAAATTCTCACTAAGACACTAAGAATACAATCCCCAAACGAAAAAAATTAAATTAAATAAATCTGACTTTATCAGAGAAAACTTCTGCTCTATGATAGACAACTGTTAAGAAAATGAAAAGACAGGCTACAAAATGGGAGACAATATGTACCAGACATATATCCAATAAAAATGCATTCAGAATGTATAAGTTACTTTTAAAATTTAGCAATTTAAAAAAATTCAAAATGTGGGCAAAAATAATCAAATAGTTACACACACACACACACACACACACACACACACACACACACACACACACGAAACAAGAATGGGGAAAGAACCTCACTGGTCATCAGGGAAATTAATTGTGATGCGATGCCAATATACCCCTATTAAAAGGGTTAAAGTAAAACAAAGCAAAAGCAATGACAACCAAACGTTAGTGGAGATGCAAAGCAACTGAAGTTCTCATACTTTTACATGGGAATGCTAATGGTACAGCAACTTAGTAGTTTCTTACGTTAAATATGCACTAGTCATGCAACCCAGCAATCCTCCTCCTAGCTAACTGTGCAAAAGAAATGAAATCTTAAGCTCACATAAAAATGAGTATGCAATGTTTATAGCAGCCTTAATAGTTGTTCCAAACTGTAAACATCCCAAATGTTCTTCAAATGGTGAATGGGAAACAAACTATGGTACATCTATGGAATGGAATACCACTCAGCAACAAAAGGGAATAAAATATCTATACACACTAACAATATAGACAGATCTTATATGCGTGATCCCAAGGAAAGGAACTACATTCAAAAGACTACAATACAAGATTATTCCATCTATATTACATTCTGCAAAAGGTAACACATCAGTGGTTGCCAAGGGTTGAGGTAGTGGGTTGAATACAAAAGGACAGCACAAGGGAATCTGGGGGAAGGGAGGGGGGTGAAATAGTCCATATCTCAATCGTGATAGAGAATGTAGACTGAAAATATTTGTCAGAACTTAAAAAGCTGAATTTTATTGTATGTAAATTACACCACAATAAATCTCATGTCAAAACATGCTGCAAATTCCTTGATGCTTTTCCCATCGAGCCCTTTACATGTAGGCTGCTCTGTGACTGCTCCGACCAATAGAATATGACCCAGGCCTTAATAAACCAGCAGTTTCTCTCCTTGCTGGGAACACTGAGAGGCCATATAAGAGGTCTGAGGATCCTGAGTCTGCCATGACAGGGAGGTCAGGTACAAGTGCCCCAGTGGATAGCCCAGGGAGACCAGCCTTCCCATCTTTCCAGCCAAGGCACCAACATGGCATGAAGAACGCCTTCTCTCAACAAAATGAGAGAAACTACCAGGCACAAGGAGCCACATATCCAAACTCTGCTAAAATTCCTGACCCATACAATCAAGACATTTAATAATTGCTTTAAACTGTAAGTACTGTTATGTAGCAATAGATAACCAAACAGTCTCTGCTGAAAGAAAGAAAGGGAGAAAGAAAGAAAGAAAGGAAGGAAGGAAGGAAGGAAGGAAGGAAGGAAGGAAGGAAGGAAGAAAAAGAAAAGAAAAGAAAAGAGAAGGAGAAAAGGGAAGAAAGGGAAAGGGAAGAATAAACATCAGATGTTACCAGGAAAAGACTAAAAATGTTTTGACTTTTTCTCTTAGAACCCATTAATCTCTGGGATTGATGAATGCATCTCATTCTTTGCAAGCTTAGCTCTGAGGCTTCATGAGCCCCAATTACTGACTCTGGAATTCCATCATACTTTTTATCAAATATTATTAAATTCTCTAAAATAAGACTACACGGATCATATACTAGAAAACACATT